CAATGGTCGACACCTTTGGTGCAGACCTTGTAGCAAAAATTGTCTGCTTCCTGTGGATTATTCCATTATTCCCCATTTTTCCTCCATGGATCAGAAAACAGCAAATTATTTATTTTGGGATATGTAGCCAGGCATGAATACAGTTTTTTGGTTGATAAGAGCTTCGAATGGCTCAATCCCAATGCACAATTTGTTTGAAGAGATTCGCTAAGGGATGAGCTCAAATGACCAAAACGGGGATCAGCCATCACTTTCACCACAGCGAGTAAGACTGTGCACAACTATCTGCATTTCGCCTGAATCACTTAAAAACCCAGACAGTACCACAGAAATGATTCCATAAGGCCAGGTAAGGTGAGAAGCTGATGGAATGTGTGATTTACTGCAGGACATGAGTTATGAAGGGTCCCCTAAAACCCTTACCTAAAGGTAGCGGGAATCAACTCAAGCTTAGAACCTGCACTTTCTGTAGGCTCTCATTTACAGACCCCTTAATACATATTTGATCTTGTATCTCACTGTATTGAAGTACTCCTGCTACTGGGAGATGCTTCTTCTTCCATTCCAGGATTGCTCTCAACAACTACTGTGAAGAAGGGATAGTGTTAAGATGATGGATTGAAAGCCTCCAACAGTCTCAGAGTACCTTTTGGCCTACTCCAGACTTCCCAAAGCCACAGTACTGTATATAAGCCCATCCTGTATGATACAGTAGATTCCATCTTATATTTTCTACCTATCAATCAATCAATTTTGACTTGCTACTCTGGGACCTCCTGTCTTTGCTACTCTGGACATTGTGAATCTGCATGAAATTCTTGTATATATGCTATTTACATGCCTAGGAAATCTTGCCAGCTGATATGACACATACAGACACCATACAAAAAACTGGGTAACTGGTATTGCTTTCAGGTGAGCAAACTGTCCCCTTATTATGAGGAATCAATTGCATAGTGTCGGCGGAACATCTTCAAATACCTTAGATTCTCATTGTTTAATAAACAAATAGTAGATCAGTGAATCTATGTTAAGTTATGGTATGCACTCAGATAATGTTGCCGCGACTCGAAAGTCGCGGCTCGGGAAGTCGACTTGAAAGTAAATTTGACTCAACTCCACTCGACAACCAAGTCACTCGAAGTTGACTTGAGTCGACTCAAGTCATTCAAGTCGAAGGGTATTTTCGGAAGATATGCCAATACATCCAAGATGGCACTTAGATACCTAAAGTCCGTTGGAAACATGGTGCCAAGCCCAGAAGCAATTAACAAGCCAGAAACTGGCGCTCCTTGGGATTTCAAGGTATAGAACACCCAAAACTTGAAATTTCATACCATTATGCTCTTTTGTGTTCCTCAGACTATTTCAGTGCAAAAATGATGAAGTGGTCGTTGGCTAACTCGTTTCGATGGGAGTTGAACCGTAACCAGATAAACACAAACACCGTTTATTTCCGATGCATTCACGCATTGCATTCATTGGATCGTGTTCTTCATTACTGTTTACACAAACCTCCGTCTGTGTTCTCAATTAATTTGCTAGTTTCTGACATTCTGCATTGAGTACTGCCAGCTATTTGTGCCATCAATTTAACTGGAGGAAAAACTTTGGGCCATGCAGCACCACACCCGGTATTGTACAAGCGGACAGGAATCCACAGTAAGACATGCTGTGTCCCACTACTTCATTGTTTTTCTGTACCGAATATCCTGAGGGACCTGCTAGAGAATCTCGGAAGGAATCCTAGGTTAAATAATTCATCATCGCTATTAGCTTCAAAATGCATCCAGCAGGTGGAATTCACTTACATCGACCGGAAGATCAAACCCCTTGACATCAAACCCCTTGCACAACAAGAAGGAAAAAGAGCATTGATTTGTAAAAATGGTCAATCTAAGTTTCCAACCAGGTTTTGAAGGCAGTAATATTGGAATGTTTGATGTATGATTCCCAGTTTTCTGATGTGATGGTCCGTCCGAGTGTGCAAGTCTATGTAATGCAATTACTTTGACTTCTCAACCACCTCAATGTTTCTCCAACTCGAATATCCTGAGCTGCCAGCAAACTTCATGGAAAATCTCAACTGAAGTGGACGAGACTCTAGGCCAAATACTCACAATCGCTATTGCATCAAAATGCATCCAGTATGTATAATTTACCTGCGGGACCTGAAATTTTGGATATTGAAGCCCATAGAGGCCATCCGGCACGACAGCGAGGAAAGAGAGTACAAATCCGTAAACATGGCCAAATATAGCAAGCCTACAATTTTCAACTGGGTTCAATTAACTCAGTTTATCGTTTTCCTGGGCTCTCAAAAGTTTTGAATATTGAACCCAACTTGAGTCGACTCAAGTCACTTGGAGTCAACTTAGAAGTTGAGCCAAGTCTGGCATTTGACTCAACTCGACTCAACTCAAGCTACAAACTCGACTTCGAGTCGGCCCGAGTCTCAAGTTGCGGCAACATTACACTCAGATATTTGTTCCCATAGATCAGTAGTAGATCAGCCTTGGCAAAATATGTATAATCCAATAGATTGCATTGAGGACAGTGTGAGTTCAACTCCTACTTGGAGCATCCATCCATCACAAGGGATTGTTTGGGCAGTGCCAGCTCTTCCTTTACTAAATCCATGATGCACTCACAAATGGAGAGTACAAAGCTGGGGTGTTGCAGAAGAGGTCAAATAATCCTGAGTATAAGCAGGGGTGAGTGGAGGAGGTACTGGGGGTGCTGGAGGGTCAACTGGAAGGGCCGGAGGTGGAGGTTCCCCTAACAGGTATATATTGTTTTTAATTTGTTTTGGTGGATGTAACAATGACGAGATGCCCACTGTCAAGGTGATGGATAGGAGATGCTCCAATAGGTCAGCAGGTGAACCAGTCTCTCTTCTTGGATTTCTTGAGGTTAATAGAGGTTTGACTCTCGCTTGGGGTGCAATCTTTAGCCTTGGTAATGTAACAACACTGGGATGTCAAATGTCAAGAAATATCTCAAGATGCCACTCCAGTATAGAGGGGAGGGGAGACAAATCTACCTCATGGCAAGCACTTTCGGGCCAAAACCCAAGCCAGTGCGATGCTGCAACGTAACTAAAAACAGAACGGTAGCTAGAGACCACGAGCCCATTGAGTAACAAAGAAACTGGGATGGTGGGCAGAGATTTTTGAAGCCAGAAACAAGACAGGTGTACTCAAGTTGAGTGAGCAAGCAAGGAGGGGGCAAGGAGAAAAAAGTTGGAGTGATGTGACTGCTTGCATGTAAACACATGCTAGGATACTTCTCAGGATACCACTACAGCACTAGAGAAGCTCCAAAGATCAGCGGTAGACCAGCCTTTCTTGTTGTACTTGCAGAGGAGTGAGCTGAGGTGATGTGGGCTCAACTCCTGCTTGGGGCATAGTCAAGAGGGTTTGTACTTTTTTTACATTTAGTGTGGTAGTGTTTATGTTGTTTTTGGATAATCAAACAACATGATGTCGAGACACCACTTTTGCGCAAGAGCTCCAATAGATTAGTGGTAGCCCAGCCTCTTTTCTTATATACTCCTGGATTTCCTGAGGCCAAAGTGGGTTAGACTCCCGCTTGGGGCATAGTGAGCAACTTGGCACTTTTTTCCCTCCAGCTGGCTATACATCTTTCGAAGCAACTTGAGATGCCAATGTCTCAAGATACCGCTGCAGCACTAGGGAAGCTCTGAAGGTCAGTGGTAGACCAGCCTCTTCTTATTAATTTCAATTGCACTTCGTATTTTGAGGCCAATGTGGGTTCAACTCCCACTTGGGGCATGGTTCCAAGTTGTATTGGTTTTTTAGTTTCTTTCTGGCTACCGCAAATTTCTTTTCAGATAATGGAACAATACTGGGGATGTAAAGATGCCACTGCGGTGGGGAGGGGAGGAGAGACAAATCTCCCTCACACTCCCTCACAGGAAGCACTCCTGGGGAAACCCAAGCCGCTGTGATGCTACAACATAACTAAAAACAGGACAAAATAGGTAGGGATTATGAGACTTTAAATAACTAAGAATTGGGATGGTGGGCGGAGATTTTTGAAGCCAGAAACAAGACAGGTGTACTCAAGTCGAGTGAGCAAGCGAGTAGGGAGCAAGGAGAAAAAAAGTTGGAGTGATGGCATGTAAACACATGCTAGGACGATACTGGGATGACAATAACTTAGGTATCTCAGGATACCACTACAGCACTAGAGAAGCTCCAAAGGTCAGCGGTAGACCAGCCTCTCTTGATGCCTGATTCCTGAAGAGTGACGCGGGTTCAACTCCTGCTTGGGGCATATCAAATATAATGTCGTTGTTTTTTTGCTCCCACTTTACTTTTTTTGGTTGGGACAAGATGGAAATGCGACAAGAAGGAAAAATGATGTACACTTCGTGTTCCCCAAAAGGAAACTCCGGCTTCGTGAGTCGAAGATAAGTAAGTACGGTGTTTGGAGCCGACGCCATGACAGGATCAGCGACAGGGTCAAGGGAGAAGAACTCGGGACGGTCGCTGAGGCGGCAGAGTAGCAAGGAAGATTGACGAGCGGGGAGATAATAAATGTGAAAATTAACAGTGAAATATGTAACGGACTGGAGATGGTAGGGTATACCGCACCTAGTTGAGGGCTCCTTGTTTTCTTTGTGCAGCGGGTGGTGTCCCCACTGCGAACTTGCGAAATGCAGCCTCGAGCATCGTGCACCGGAGTTTCCTTTTGGGGAACACAAAGTTACATCGTGTTTCCGTCATATCTAGTACAGTTCCACCTTACTATTAGCCATATGTAGATCTTCAATGTAGACGCTTGTGGGCTCCCCCTTGACCAATTTAAAAAAAATTGAGTCAACATGAAAGTGGGGGGAATTTTCGGAATCGAGCCGTGAGAGTGGGAAGTTATCGTGTGTTTTTCCTCCAGCCAAGTACTATAGCTATTTTTTTTCCAGGTCATAGAACGATGCTGGGATGTTGAGATGCCAATGTCTCAAGAGGCACTGGGAAGCTCCAAAGGTCAGCGGTAGACCGGCCTCACCGATTAGTAACGTCAGAAACGGAGGCGCAGGTTCGACTCCTGCTTGGAACGTGTCCAAAAAGTTTTGTATTTTTTTTTGGTCGTTTGTGTGCTTTCTTTCTTTCTTTCTTGAGAATTTTGGTGTTCGACCTTTGGGGGCTTTCCTCATTGCTACCCGCCATCGGGCTCGAGTTTCAAGAGTCAGAACGTTAGTAATGGAAGGAGTTGGAAAGAGTCGAGTTTCCATTCGTGCGGTGAGTTCGTCCGTTCATTCGTGAGTTCATTACGTTTCATTTCATTTATACTTACACCCTGCCCTCCCCTCCCTCGCACACTCTACATGTATTCCTACACCCCACTCACTTCCCCCCAATCGAAAACAAAACGTAGAAATCATCTCGAAAATCGAGACGACGGAGAAAGCGCCCGAGAAAGACGGAGCAAGGCGAAGAGAGGTGGACCCGGCTAGAACGTGCTGCCCTCTGGCGGCTGGGGGAGCTTGCGGTTTGAGGCGGAGGCCATTTCTCTGTGGGGAGTGAGTCAGTGTCAGCAGAAGGAAAGAGATGTGCGGGAAACCAGACGAGACGAGACGAGACAAGTGCCCCCAACGTTCAACCTCCGACCTTCCCCCTGCCCGTTTCCCTCCGACGCGCTGCCCGACGCGTTGAATGCTCGCTCGCGACGCGTTTGTTTGCGCGCGTGTCGCCATCAACGCCGATGTCTTGACTCGCCCGACTAGACGTCTTTGGACTAGATGTTTACTAGCTTCAGCCTAGCGCCGCCCTCTAGTCCCAATTCAAGCTCCACTCGATGACCAGGCAACTGCTAAGCCCACCCCCGTCCTTGCCTTGCCCTCTAGCTGGCAACGACTATGACCAACGACCCTGCCGACTCTCCGTCTCCCTCATCGCCGGCCCGTCTCGACTCCCCAGCAATGTGGCACAAGCTTCCCGTCCCTCGTCGTCCCACCTTGGTATGGCTTTTCCTTCCGTACGTCTCATGACAAGCGCTGATATATGTCTTCTCTAGGCTCTTCTCTATGGATGAGCCACACACGCGAGGGAACATATCCGTTCTGTCCTGCATACAAGAGCGATGGCTTTTGGAGGTATCAAGTAAAGTACGTCGTTCTTTTTATTCTCCCTCCCCTCCCTCGACCCTTTCGTCTCTCCTCCCCTTCACCCTTCTGTTCGCACTACCCGTATACTGACCATGTCGTACCTCCAGCTTAGCCACACTCCCCTTCGCCACCTTCGACACCAAGACCCCGTTTGCGAGCCCCCCTTCGTCGATGCTCATCTGCAGCCCCAGAGTCTGTAACATACACCGCGAACCACCGGCATTCACGACGCCGTTCTGGGCACGCAGTGCCCACACGATCCGCGCCCACGCGTTGCGTTCACTTCCACCCCACACCCCACATCCATTGCCACTAGCGCCACCACCCACCACCGTCGTCTTCCACCAAACGACCCTGCGTCTCGCTTGCCCGACCACCCTCGCCGACTCCGACGGCGCGATCACCCACCCGCCATCGCGCCAGCGCGTGCACGGCATGCATCACCGTGCCCATGTCCACTTCCCGCCGCACTCCCCGCTCCCGCGCACGCCCAGCGCTTTCGTTCTCCCCCATCGTTCTCGCGGAACCGTCAGACGAGCAGGCACACCACATCCAACAGTACGAGCACCCGAATCAGCCGCGCGCGCAACTCGCAAATCCCGGAGGCGAGATCCTCGGCGCACGCCCGCGACGCCTCTGCGCTGCGCCACACCCGCGCATCGTCCCCGCCTTGGCCTCGCCCTCGCTGTCGCTCGCCGGCGCCGCCCCTAACCGCTCACGACAGTACGACCCCGCTCGCACACGCCGCGGATCGGGCCCTTGAATCGCCCGCACGCCCGACCTCCGCCCACGCCGCACTGCAGCCATCCCATCGCCCGCGCGTACCCAGTACGCCTCGCATCCCCGTCGCAGCTCCTGCGCACGCTGCCCCCGCCCTCTCCATCCAGCCCCCCGACCATCTGCGGCGCCCAGCAGAACCGCGACAACGCCCCGACGCCCTCCCATCGCGCTCACCCGCACCCTCAGGCACCCCGCTCCCTCCTCCCTCAGCTCCAGGAAGCGCGACGGCGGAGTGCCGCAAGGACGGGACAAGGCGGATGCGTCCCTGCGCTACCTTATCTATAGTATACGTGATCTGAACGACTATCTTCAGATTTCACACCCGGTAGACTATAGAGGCTGAAACGAGCCTAACGGCAACCTTACTTACGCTCGCCAGCCGCCCATGTCTCGCCTTCCGAGATCCCAGTCATCTCCGGACGCCAAGGGCTTCGTCCCGTCGCTGAAGCGTAAAATCATCCCGGAGGAGGACGACATCGAGGAACAGCCAGCCAAGAAGGGCCCCGCCTCTACCGGCTTCCGGCCCAAGCCCCTCCAGGCCTCGCGGAATGCTACCAACGCGATCGCGTCTGGCTCTACTACGTCTGCGTCCACCACATCATCGAAGCCGGCTGCTGGGAGCAAGCCCGCCGCTGTAATGCCCCGCCCTCTGACGCGCCCCGCGCTCGCCCGCGGCCGCGCGCCCGACATCCCGCGGCGCCAGCGCACCACCCGTCTCCACCGTTACCGTGCGCAAGCCCCTCCTCGCGCGTCCCCCGCCGCCCCCGCCGCCGCCCTGGGCAAACGCACCGCGTCGGGGGGGCGCGACCGCGACGGCCGCAGCGCCGGACGTGATCACCAGCCTCCACAAACACCTCGCGACACTCGAGTCCGCGCGCACGCAGGACACCGAGCGGCTCGCGTCGCTCCTCGAGTCCTCTGCCGCCGCCGCCACTTCGTCCTCGTCAGCTGCAGCGTCCGCCGCTGTAGTAGTGGATGCACAGACGCAGGCGGAGCTTCTCGCGGTGCAGGCGCAGCTCGCCAGCACCACCGCGCAGCTGGGTAGTGCGACCGCGCAGCTGCTCTCCTTGCAAACCGAGCTCGGGGGCGGCGCAGGGGGCGCTCCGCGCGCGCGAAGCCGCGGAGGCGGACGCACGGCGCGAGAACCTCGCGCTCAAAGCGGAAGTGCTTGCAGGGAAAACGGCGCTCGCGGCCGCGCAGGACGAGAGCTCCGAGCTCCGGCGAGCGCTTGCGCGCGAGCGCGAGGAGGGGGAGATCCGCGCAAGAAGGGGGGAGCGACTGCTGAGGGAGGCGAAGAACAATTTGGAGGAGTGCGAGGGGAAGCTCGCGAAAGTAAGGAAGGAGCTGGAGGGAGCGGTTAGCAGGGAGGTGGGGATGCAGGAGCGGTGTCGCGTTCTTGAGGGATGGGCGGAGCGCCTCGCTGGGGAGGTCGCGCAATTGCAGGCCGAGAAGACTCCGTGGGCGGTGGAAAGGGCGGGGTGGGATGTGGAGCGGGAGGCGTGGGAGGTGGAGAAGCGGCGCTGGGAGGAGGAGCGGCGGAGCCTGCATGGGATGGTGATGGAGCTCAAGGGGAATATACGCGTGTTTTGCCGCGTAAGACCGATGTTGTCTGACGAGGAGGCGGGTGCGGAGATCGCGTACCCCGACGCGGGGCTGCCGTACCCGTCGGGGCAGAAGGAGATCGTGCTGAGCTCGACGGGGGCGGAGAGGGAGTAGGACGCGGGGATGGGAAATAAGGCGCGCAGGGAGGTGTGGGGGTTTGGGTTTGATCGGGTGGGTGGCGTCTCCTCCTCGTCCTCGTTCTCCTCCTGCTTCTACGACGCTAACTAACGCCTCTCCATCGCAAGTCTTCACCCCCGCCTCGACGCAGGCGGGCCTGTTCGCGGGGAGATCTCGCAGCTGGCGCAGAGCTGCACGGACGGGGGGCGGGAGGCGGTCGTCCGGCGCGAGGTGGAGGGTGCGTGCGAGCCGATATTCCGCGGCCCATCTAGATCCTACTTCCTTCTCGATCCCTTTCATTCATCCATTCATCCACCGAGCTCGACATCCGCTGACCCGCTTCCCTCAGACCGACAGACATCCTTAGGCTCGTACGCATCCGCCTCTCCGCCTCCCTTAAAGTATAGATGTCTCAGCGCGATAGCGGAATACCGACTGGGAGGTATGTTTCGGTCCTGCCTTCCTCTTGTTTTGGAGGTGGAGGGTCGGCTGCCGAGGATATGCGTATGCCCATACCAGTTGCTCACACGGGCGCGTAGTGGGTGGCGCACACGACTCGGACGGTGCGCGTAATAGCGAGAGCGGGGGCGGGCGCGCGGGGGAACGTCGTACGGATGGCACGTCGGTGGCAGAGCTCGTTCGCGTGCTGCCCGCTGGAGAGATGGGCAGGGGACGGAAGCTCCGGCGTGGGGTGGGACTAGGTGAAATGTAATACACACCCTCGGCAAGAATGGCGCGGACAGCGGGTGTAGGGGGGGGGGCAGCGCGGGGACGCAGAAGACGGCGGTGTACTTGTGCGGGCGGAAGATACATGCGGATCCGCCTTTTCACGACGACTGCGTCGTGCGATAAATCATGTGCTTCTTCTCCCCACTTCGCCATATCCTTATTCGGCTTTTATTCACTTATATACCGATCTATCCATCCTCTCAGCCCGCTGACCCACTTCTCCAGACCTCGTCTCCTCCCGCTCGAGTCTCCGAGAGGTCGCATTTTGCGAAGACGTCACACACTCCCCTGTACGTCTCAGTCCTCGTCCTTTTTTTGTGGTTTTCTTTTGTGTTTGGGAGATGAGCGAGGGAGCTGGTGCATTCGTGGCGCAGACGGCACTCGTCGGCAAGGGGGTGCCGGGCCGTGAATACCGGAACATACCCTGGGTGGTTGGTTCGTCGGCCAGGTCAAAAATTTATTTTCCAGTAGGAAAACTTTGGTGGGCAGAAACACATTATATTTGCTTCTGGAACACATCTGAGATGGTACCAACATGCTCTTCGAACATCTTACTACAGTCTCCCTATATTCTCCACATTCGGTCAATGCCCCGGCTTATGAAGCGCAATTAGTGTGACAATCATGCACCATTTCGCGCCATCATTCTGCTGTGATCAAGCACAATTTTTTGCGAGATGATGACCACAATGTATGGCTGGTATGTGGTGTACGACAGCTACTG